CGCAGGCGTAGGGAGGCGACCCTCTCGTCCACTGGGGTAAACTCCAACAACGAAGCACCCAACCGGGGACTTGTGAGTATCCCCACACCCGCCCGGCGCCTCACACCTTGAGCAACTCCGGAGAAGAATAGATTCCAACCCCTATCCAGAAGTAAGGTTCCAGAGCCGACGCTGTGCGTAGAGGTGAGCCCAACCAGATCCAACTGGTAACGCTCCACCTCCTGCACAAGCTCCGACTCCTTCCCCCCCAGAGAGGTGATGTTCCACGTCCCCAAAGCCAGCTTCTGCCGCCCGGGTCTGGTCCGTCGAGACCCTCTGCCTTCACTGCCACCCTTCTGGCAGCGCACCCGACCCCATCGCTGTTTCCCGTAGGTGGTTGTCCCGCGGGTCGGAGAAGCGGAGTTGTTGCCCACGTTGCCTTTTCGGGCTGTGCCCAGCCGGGCTCCGTGGCAAGCCCGGCCACCAGAGGCTCGCAGACGAGTCCTCCTTCTGGGCCTGGCTCCAGAAGGGGACCCCGGGCTTCCTCCGGGCCGGGTATCCTCACTTCGTGTGTCGTCTTTCATGAAGTCTTGTAAATTATGTCAACAAATTCCACTTAATTGTATTAGGTTAGTTGAAAGCAATAATATTAAGTTGAACCTATTTAAACTTAATGTTAATGCTTTCAACTAACCTAAGACAATTATGTTGACAATACATTTAATTAAAGTTTTTTCAGTGTAACACTAATTGTAATATTGTATATCACACCCTGTATCATTTTACCATAAACAATGCTGCAGTTACATTCTTTCTCCTTTAACCTTGTCATAATGTTGTCACGATACCACACCCCATGCAGTAATGATCTCACCTCATGTCCCTCCAGTGGACCTGTGGCAGACCTTCGAGGTGGACTCCCTGGAGCACCTGGAGGCCCTCGAGGTGGTGACGGCCCACCTCGAGGACAGACTCAACCACTGCAAGGCCAAAGTCATGATGGTCACCTGCTTCGATGCCGGCACCAGGAGACGACATAAGAGGCGACGACGAAAAACGCCTGAGCAGAGAGCCTTAAAGGGAATCAAGCCAGAAACTCAGAGAGGATTGCTAAAGGAGGGGGAAACATCTCTTTACCTCAAGACTCTATGTTTTATACAAATGACTTCATATGACTGAAATGTTTTAAATTCAAAATCTGCCACAAACATCAACTAAAAGCACACTTTGTTATTTCTACATTACCTTAATGTCCCTTAATAATATCTAACCTGCCTTCTCGGGGTGGTCAAAGGTCAGAGCCAGTGGCAGGAATGATTGCTGCTATAATGTAATTAATGCAACTACTCTTTCTGACTCCTTTTGGGATCTCAACAAAATGTTGGATCCTTACATTTGATTTCTCTTTTGATACCCGTCATTAATAACACTGCTGTCTTTGAAATACCCTTAAATCATGTGTTATTGCTATTGAATTGATATTTTTGTTTGCATTGTGCAGTATATTTAAAGGCAGACTATACCCACAAAATGACCAATTGTATATCAATTGTATATCAATATCTTATCTAGCTTGACAGAACACTTCATATCGAATAAATCCATAGAGATACTTTTGTGCAGGGTTGAACAATTAGCATTTTGGTAGCTTGTTTTGCAATTTGTCAATAGTCAGATTTCAATCCTTTTCAGCAATTCCTATTAGGTTTGCTTCTTATTCAGAGTATTTGAACATGCATCAGTCAAATATTGGAGATCTTTGTGTGGACTGAGAAAACATATCACTTCATTAGCTTTACTGTGATATCATTATTTGTAGTATCTTATATGATCAAAATGTGGTTGACCACTTGAAGAAGTCTCAGACTAATGGACTGATCATTCCACCTTAACATTTGTATTTCATATTTGTGATTAAGAGGAAATGTGGCCATTGTGTATACAGATTTTGGCACTGAATACGACTCTGAAATGTATGTTTGTATAAATAAGGTTAAGAGTCTTCTTTAGCAATGCAGTTCTTCTGCAAGCTGTGGAAAAAGTGACTGAGTCTGAAGTGATGAAAAAAGCTTTTGCCAACAGTAACACCATTGGGAAATTTTCAGTGTGTTCGAGGGTTGAATGGCTTTTGATCAATAAACTAGCTGGTAGAACACATTAGGAAATGATTGGAGGCTGAATAAAAAAATGTGGATTCTGCTAACAGACTAATGGAAGGGTAATTACATTAAAGAGATAACGTCACCGTGTCTGAAGAGCGCTGTGAAGTCATTGGGCCAACAAGAGAGGACGGACTGAAGCAAAGACCGGATAATGGGATCTCATAGATCGATGAATTTCACCGTAAGGGGAAGACACACACACACTGTTTTGTAAAACCTACTATTTAGCATGTTGTACGTCACCGTAAATAAATGAAAGCTTTCTGTTATGGTCCTGTGTTTATAGACAAACTCAATTTTTGGAGTATTAAACTATGTTTCCAGTTCCTGCTTGTGCTTCCATCCTATTTGTTGTTGTTGTTGTGATAATTCATTTATTGGACAGTGTAAGATCACAGACAGTGTTGGGAAATTCATCTTATTCTGGAGTGGGATCTATATAAGGGACTTAAAGCTGGTATCTCTGTATCTGGGGCATATATTTCAATTCTTCTTCTTTAATCTGTTTTTGCAGATTGAAATAGGGCAAAAAATGTCTCGCATATTGTGTTTATGTCTGTGTATTTGTGTTACTATAGTTTTAAGGCCAGGCAAAAGGGGCAAGCAATTGGATCCTTATAAAGAGGCCCTACCTGAATTTCCCCTTGGGGATAAAATAAAGGTTAATCTACTTCTTCTTATATGCTTTTTGGGGGTTTCCCCTTTCCTGTAATGTGTTAAATAGGTTTGTGTGCATGTAAATGGTCTGCAAAGTCGAAAATCCCAAATTTCTCTGGCGCACACTCCACACAAAATACAAATATGAACCTGAAAATTAGCACAATTTATCCTCTTGACATTTTCAATTTCCAGAGTAAAGTAAAAATGTTTAGAATACAGTTGAAATGTAACTCGGGTCAAGATATTGGTTACTACAGTTGAATACCAAAATATCGATAAACAACTAGCAGCGTTAGCGCTTATATTGAAGGTATTACTCTCTTAACATTTTGACCTTGCCATTGACATTTCAAATTTACATTAAATGTTGTATTCTTGGAGTAGCCTGCGACTTATGATTGTCATTGCTAAAACATTGCTATGGCCAGTGGCGGTTCTAGACCAATTTGACTGGGGGGGCCAGGTTGGGGTCGGTTATTTTCTGAGAGGGGCACAATAAATGCAGGACGAAAAAGACAGTATGAAGTAATTGCGCATAAGAAAACAATGCAAAACAGTTATTGGTACACATATTTATTTCAGATATAGTTACAGTTTTTACGCTCTAATGGGTCCGACTAGAATTACAAATAACGTTAGTTCCGCCTATTCCGTCAGCCATCCTGGCTATGGCCTTTGACTCTTGGATCTTATCCCTGACATTTCAACCTTATCTTGAAATGCAAAATGTAAAAAAATGTTCCCCTTTAATGTTATACCCCCATGACTGGCCCTATACTCTGCTGTGAAGTGTACAGAGAGAGAGAAAGTAAAACAAATCCTTCTGTTGTGATGCGATGCAACATTCTGGCAAAGGTAATGGGAGCAAGAAGAGTTGAGCCCTAAAGCAGCACAATTAAAGCCCATTACAGTAAAGAAAGAAAACACACACACACACACACACACACACACAAAGATGCTTTAGTCCCTGAGTTTGCCCTTCCTCTCTTTCTGCTCCACTTCCTCATTGTTTAGCATCATATACAGTTCTGCGTGTGTGTGTGTGTGTGTGTGTGTGTGTGTGTGTGTGTGTGTTTGTGTGTATGTATGTTCATGCAGATTTAGAAAAGAGGAAATGGGATTAAATGCTTCAAAAAACAAATGTACATTATTCTGTTGAAGACTGCAACATTAAAAGCCCATTTATTTGTACGTGTTCTGACGCCACTCTGCTTGATTCATTCTGCAAAACTGATGGAGGATGTAAACACCCCTGCAAAAGGCGGAAACATACAAAAATACAAAGTCAAACCGATGAAGCTTGAAAATCACAAACACACAATTTATATCAGCAGACCTAATAAACAAACTTTCCACATTTTTTTTTTCAAGAAATTCAACCTATTTCATAAAAAATAATCCGGTTTTTAACTTTTTTTTTCCTACAATTTCTATATATTAAATCATTTAGGCTAAAAGCCATATAAGCAAGCACCCCAAACGGTTATTATGCAACCACCTAAATCCGAAAAGCACTGATGTGGGGCCATGTCTGCACCAAGCTGCAATGATTTGTATAAAACATGTGATCACTTCACATCTCTATTCTCCTTATGCAAAAGTAACAATATAACAAAAATTATGCACATCTGCACTACTCCCATCGTAATCCAGTTCCTCATCATATGACCTCCTCATCTGCCGTTACATAACACATTCAGGAGCCAGTGCGACACATCTGCCAGGAGATGGCAGCCTCCACCACATGCTGAAATAAATAAAGAAACATGACATGTAGGTATAGATTGCAACCAGGGGGAAGCTGGAAAATCCCCGGATTGGGCAGTAAACAAGAAGCATGAGAGAGTCGGAGAGGGACAGATGACACAGTGGACCCAGCAGGCAGGGACACGACGCTGATCAAGGCGTTCATGTTCGGATACAAACTGTGAGACATCATCCAGCGGTGAGTGCATCCCTCCATCCTGCTGCTGCCTGCCCCTTGCTGTTTTCCATGTCATTATGGGATGTCAAGTTATATAAAATATGTTATACAGAGGTTTGGATAGTGTTGTCGTAGCAGAAGGAACTATAATAACGCATTTAAGATGGATGTCGCAGAAAATAACAGGAGCTATGAACTCGACTTAAACATGCTGTTTTTATTATAAGAATACCGTTAATGTTCATGTACAACATGAGTGACATTTAACATTAATATAGGCTACATTTAAAGCGGGTGGTTGCATAGTGCACGAAAGCTGCATGCGCGCCCTCGATGCACATGTTCACTTTGCCCACTTTGCAGACACGTGCACACGCACGCATTCTAACTCCGACACCCACTTGTGCGACAATTTGTGTAACTGTCTGACAGACAGGGAGAGAATTGAAGCCACACGGCAGTCAGCTGGAGAAACACTGTCAGCAACAACCAGCTCTCTGTTTCACAGCAGTTGTCATTTAGTGTTCACAGTTGACTGGCTTTGTCTCTGATGATGCGCAGTTACAGTAGAGACAGTAATGGTTGTAATAAAATAGCATATTCATGGTAGGAAAAATATGTACATTTAATTACCATATAATTGTTTTGTTTTTCTACCTTTTACCTTATGGTGAATCACTGTCTGTTTCTTCTTTTTTTTTTTTTTTACAGTTTAAAGGCCCTGTGAAGTGTGCACCTGTGCATGATCTGTTATGCTAATACGTATAGTAATGACCAAAATTGTCCATTGGAACCCATATCAAAAGATGTTGGAATAGCAACGAATTTGACGAGTTTTGAATTTACCGGGGAAATCTGCAGTCGACCTTCGCCTTCGTGGGCGTGGCTTGCGATCTACTGCGTGACGTCACGAGATGGACGCCGCCGCACTGTTTACATTCACCACCGTTCATTTTTTCTCTTTTTCAAAGTCGAATTTCTCAACGTTTTTGAGCTAGTATTTTCCTGGAAAGTGTGTCGGAGTCGACTGGAAGTGATTGCCAATCGAGAAAACCTGACAATGGAGGCGACAGTGAAGAAAGAGGGAGGAAAAACACAGGTGAAACGATGCATTGCCGCTGGCTGTAGTAATGTCAAGTCTGCCGAAGTGGCGATGTTTCTGTTCCCAAAAGATGAAGATGAAGGTGAGCCTGGCTGGTGTCATTGTTTCGTAGATTCGTTCATTGATCATGATAAATAAAGGCCACTGGTCGATTCGAGAGAGAGAGAAAGAGAGACTGAGAGAGTTACAG